ATGGGGAAACTTATTTCAAGAGATTGAAGGCGGTTATGAATTTCCGGTGTAGGAAACAGAGAATGATTAGGCATACCATGAAAATTAACAACGGAGAGGCTGAGTTCTTCAAGATTCGGAAACCTCCACCAGAACTTACGATTCATATCAGCAAGAGATACACGACATTTGCCAAAAGTCTTTAAGTTGTCTAACACATGTTCTTCTTGCTCATCGTCTTCCCATATAAAGGAGAATTCAGTAATATCAACATGCCTTAGCTTCTTCATTTTCCAAATGTCCGGTGATGTCTTTATACGTTGATGTGAATGAACACGTAAAGTTTGTAGATCGATCATGTGTGACACCCACTTGAAGTCAAATTTTTTGGCATAAATCGCGAGGTATTTCAAGTGAGTGAGTGATTCAAGTGTGGAAGCAGGAGAATTTTGAAATTCCCAAGTACTATCCATATTGATATCCAACAAATGCAACACCCTAATAAGCCTCAAGTTAATAAGTAGAGAGACAAGATCCATACATTTTGATGAATAGAATCGCGGATGAGCAATGAATTCAAGAGACTCCTTTTCTTCGGAGTCCACCATTGAAATCTCATTCAGTGAATATCCGTGCAACTCCAATTGATTAACAAAGTTGTCATGGATATACATGCATAACCGAGCTGGATCCTTGGGAGACGAAGGTACTTCAGATGATGAGTTGTATGACGCAATGCGCTGTTTAAAATCTTCTTCTTCAAGTTTACTTGAGCAAAACTCGCGAATTAGATCATGAACCATGCAGTATTTTATATCACCATTTGATCGCCTTTTAGAAACCATTAAAAGGCTTCTATTGACTAGATCACTCAAGCAATCTTTAGATGATTTTTCTAGGTTCTCCGTGTCGTTGATGTTGGGTACTAACTCTTCAGCTATCCATAACTTTAGCAAATCGGAGACTGGAATGTTATAGTCTTCAGGAAAGTATCCAATGTATAGAAGACAATGCTTTAGATGATCGCATAAATAGTCATAACTTGATTGAATTGCCTTCCTACTCTGCTCTTCTAAACCAAGGGAACTTAAATCCTTTGCAAACTCTTCCCACACAGAGACTCGCCTTTCCTTTTGTGCGATAATACCAGCATTCAACACAATCACAAGAGGCAGTCCCTTACAGTTTCGAGCAACTTCAAATCCTGCTTCTTCTAGCTCTAAGGGAACCCCCTCGCGTTTAAATACCTTCTTTTGCAATAATTCCCAACTTTCATCCTCTGTTAGGAATCGAAGAAAATAAGGATCACTCATCTTAATAGCAACCTCTTGAACGCGAGTTGTTACCATAATTCTACTACCTCTTTCCACACAAGGGAAACATGATTGCAAATCTTCCCATGCCTCATAGTTCCACATATCATCTAAAACAATGAGGTATCTCTTACAAAATAGTGCCTTCCTCAACGTATCTGCAACGTCCTCATCCTCTTTGATCATGTCACGTTTTTCACCCGTGACTTGTTTAAGAATCTCAAACAATAGCTTTCTGATGCTATATGTTTGTGAAACAATACAAAATGCGCGAACATCAAAGTGATCAGCAATATAATGATTGTTGTACACCTTTTTAGCCAAAGATGTTTTGCCTAGTCCTGCCATTCCAACAATCGATATAACTTCGCGTTCTTTTGTTCCTCTAGTCAATTTCTGAATGATCTGTTCTACATCCTCCTCAAACCCCACAAATTCCTCATCATTCGATGAAAAACAGCATTGAGAGGTAGTTAACTCGATCTTCTCCATGTCAATTTGCGATTGTTAGAGGTAAAATCAAACTGCATTACAGTTAATATTTGTGTCAGCCTCCATAAAACCAATTACATAGTTTTGCAACAAGCATATTTTGAACATTTTACATGTCCGTCAAACACTAGGTGGACAAAGTTACCTGATACGTACGTGTAATTGAACATTTTGCCTCAATATCCATGTTCTAAAAAGAGGGAATATATATCTATGGAAGTTACAAATTACTACTTATAAAATTTATAATAAGATTAATAACACTGGAAACATTATGAAAGATTTGTTAATTAGAAGTTGGTTCCTCAAATCACTCTGTCCCAAATTTAGTGGCATTTTTCATTTTTCAAGATTCAAACTAGCTTTCCCCAAGATCACAAAACTCTATTCTAACTCGTATCCCATTCTCTCTGACCAAGGCGCTAGATCTTCTATCTACTCGATTGACCCAAACCAAGATTTTGAGATACATTTTTCATCATATTGATATGAGAAGAATCGCAACTACTTATATTGCTTCGCGTATAGAGTTGATCTAATCTAATTTATTTTCAAAGATTAGTCAAATTAATTCCCGAAAAAATAACAACAAAGCCTCACATAAATTGGTTGACTCATCAGAAAGTAAAATAAAAGGAAAAAAAATAGAAAGCTAAAAAAAGAATCTCACCTTAGAGTGCAAATAGAGAGATTAATAATTGCTATATGATTGTGTTAACTCTATTGTTTTCCTCTTGGGAAAAATTGGAAAAGAAGTTTTGTGGACTTTGAATCTTGAAGAATGAAAACTGATGGTATAGGAGAAAGATAGATCTAGTAATTGACTAGGTTGACTTTTTAAAATTACATGTGGCACTCCTTCATTGGACCATGTTAAAAGATTATTTTTAATTATAGTGTTTTCACCAAATCATCGTGATGGCGTAAAATTATGAGAGTATTATTTCACATTGAAGGTGGAATAATATTTCTAAAATAACTAATTTCGAAATAATTAATCTCAAGGTAACTTATTTCCCAACTAAACTGAACCTCCCTAGGATGAGTCTGGCTCCAAAACGGACATTTTTTGGATGTTATAGACCAAAAGAGACCCTCCCTAAAAACAAAACCAAAATGGACACTTCACCTATTTGATAATACCTTAATATTTTCAAATTGTTTGGGTGAAGTGTCTGTTTTGATCTGTAGCGTCCAAAAAGTGTCCGTTTTGAGCTTGGACTTGGGAGTCTAACATTTGGATCGAACCAGTATAAAAGAAATTAGGGGTGTACAAGTCAAACTGTAAAGTCAAACCGAACCGACGAACCAAATCAAACAAACAAAAAAAAAACGATTTGTGGTTTGGTTTGGTTGGTTTGGCAGTTGAAAAAAAAATCGACCACTCTTGGTTTGGTTTGGTATTAAAAGAAAAAAAGTCAAACCGAACTCAAACCAAACCGACATAATATATATATATATATATATATATATAATTTTATTTTATTTATAGATAAAAAATACTATTTATAATATACTTTGTTAATATATTTTTAGTTAGTTTATAGTTTTGAATGTTTATATATTTTATTTCAAATTTGGGCTTGTAAAATTTTATAAATATTATATATATAATTTTATTTTATTTATAGATAAAAAATATTATTTATAATCTACTTTGTTAATATATTTTCAGTTAGTTTATAGTTTTCAATGTTTATATATTTTATTTCAAATTTGGGCTTGTAAGATTTTGTAAATATTATATATATAATTTTATTTTATTTATAGCTAAAAAAATATTATTTATAATCTACTTTGTTAATATATTTTTAGTTAGTTTATAGTTTTCAATGTTTATATATTTTATTTCAAATTTGGGCTTGTAAAATTTATAAATATTTTATTTTGTATTAAGATCCGAAGTTACAATTATATTGTTATAGTGTTTCAAATTCAATGTTAACAATTTACTTTGTAAATATTTCGTTTTGTATTTAGTTTGACAGTATCCTTTAATCTTATTAATTTAACATAATAAACGTTGATATTTTTAAAAAAGATTGTACTCATGCGAATTTTACCGTGTTTACGAAAATTTCTATTCATTTAACATTTCTTAAGTTAAATATATATTTGACCTCTTTTTTAAATATCGTATAGTTGTAAAAACCGAAAAAAACCAAAAGAACTGACTAAAATCGAAATAAAAAAACCCGACTTTGCAGGGTTTGATTTGGTTTTTAAATTTAATAAACCGACATAATTGGTTTAGGTTTTTTTTAATGAAAAACCAAACCAAATCGACCTATGTACCCCCCTAAAAGAAATGATGTTGCCTTTTTAACTCTTTACTTGCTTACATTGATATTTCTGCAGTTATCTGTTCAATACTGCACTTAGAGCCTTGATTTTTTTTTAAACCATATAACACTTGATAAAATTCTTCAATAGTCTACTTGATAAAATTCCTCAAGATTCTTGACACTTATAACTTCCTCCGTTCTAATTTAAGTGTCTTACTTTCTCTTTTTGTCCGTTTAAAAAAAAGCACTTCCTCCGTTTCACAAAGAGTGACCTAGTTTGACTTGATACAAAGTTTTAGAAAATAAAGAAAACTTTTGAATCTTGTGGTCCTAAATTAAAGTTATGTCAAATGTATTAAATTGCCCTTCAATCTTGTGGCTTTAAACATGCCACATGGAAAGCTGAAATTAAAATGTTACCAAAAAAGGAAATAGGTCATTCTTTTTTAAACAGACTAAAAAAGAAAGGAAGTCATTCTTTTTTAAACGGAGGGATTATCTTTTTATATTTAGTAAAATTTTCAACTCCAACACTCAACCTGACAAGTTTAAGACCACATGAGATTGAAAAGATAACATACATCTTTAATTTAAGACCACAAGATTCGAAAAAATCTCACTTTATTTCTTATACCCATCTCCAATCAAACTAAGACACTTGAATTGAGACGGAAATAGTAGTAAATTGTGATAGGAAATTACCACAGATACTTTCATAATATACAATACACACATATAGTTTCCATCAACAAATAACAACAGTGAACATGACAATTAATAGTTCAGATCACAAGTGAAAAAAATTTAGAATTCATAAGATTCAAATTCTGGCTCCGTCTCTGACAATACATATCAGAACGTAGCGTTACAAAAGCACAAAGTAGATAGACATTGATATCCTCCGGACAATAGCAGCTTGCTGGTATGCAAATCAATCCACAAACCAGAACCTTTCATCTGATGTATCCTCTGACCAGAAGTTCACAAGTCCGATGAATAGTTCTGCTGCTTGGAGATCACATCTAGGTGGATGGTATATAAAGATGAAGTTAAAAATATGAAAAAGATGAAGAATGTCAGGAAAATGAATGAAGTACACTGCGAAAGGAAGTTGCTAGAGAGAACTCAAAAACAATAACGTTATATAAAAATGACATTGTTGGTTAAATTATTTCTTGACAAGTATGTTGTCGATGCAAAATGTAGCACAATTGGCATAGCTTAAAAGTTATGTTATCGATCAATATCCCCCCCAGAAAAGTAGGAGTAAGGTGTGCGTACATCCTATCTTTTCCAGACCTTAATTACTTGTGGGATTACATAGAGAGGGGGGGTCACGAAAATCGTTTATTCTGCACACCTGAACTTTAATATGCAAGGAAGAACTGTTTTTTTAATATGCAAAAACATGACAATAATGAATGAAATCACTTACCATCATCATTTTGTCTTTCTTTGAGATATGAACTTGGATCGGCCTCCCATAGTTGTCCATTACTCCCCTAATCTTCACAGCTGAATTGCCAACAGAATCGCTACAATCGATAACTTTAACCAATCGCAATGGTATAATTTCTGCAAAGGTATCCGGGATCTCTTCAAGCTTGGAACAATTATTTACAACTAGACATTCAAGGAGAGGAAATGAATCATCTGAGCAACACCACTTGGTCATAAAAACACGATGTAATTGCAAAAACTTGAGTTGTACAAACGTGTTATCACTGAGATCCCAATGTTTTTCCCCTGTAAAGTATATCTCGGATAATTCAAGAGTCTCAAGGCATCGCAACTTTGCAATACTTGAAACTAATTCATCCGTTAGGAAAATTTCACTGAGGGACAAACACTTGAGACGCGAGGGGAAAATAATATCCAAATTCATCAATGCAGAGCTTGAATAATCAGAATTATGATCTCCAAATTCATTAATGTGGAGCCTGAGTTCTTCAAGATTTGGAAACTTGTCCCAAAACTTTCGAGTCATGTCAGCCACGGACATAGAACACATTCCAAGAGTCTTCAAGTTATGTAACACAATATAATCTTCACATATTGTAACAGGAAATTCGTTTATGTCCACATGCCTCAACTTTGACATTTTCCATATAGCAGGGGATATCATTATATAAGATGAACGTACCCGCAAAGTTTGTAGATGAAGTAGGTGTGACACCCATTTGAAATCAAATGCTTTAACAAAAATTGAAAGGTACCTCAAGTGAGCTAGTGACTGAAATGCAGTAGGCAAAGAATTGTCCAAGTAGATATCCAATAAATGTAAAACCCGAACAAGTTTTAAGTTATTAAGCAAACGGAAAGGATTCTTATGGTCCAATATACTGAATTTCGGATGAACAATGAACTCCTGATCACTTTCCTTGAAATCACTTGTCATAGTACGGTCTTGTATGTACATGCATAACCTTTGTTCTTCGGGTTGATCTGGATAACTATACGGCACTATGAGCTGCATGAACTTTTCTTCTGTAATTTTTCTCAAGCAAAACTCACGAACTTGATCAAGAACGATGCAACGTCTCATTTTACCATTCAATCTTGTTTTAGAAACCACTACAAGGTTACTTCTAACAAGATCACACAAGCAATTCTCTGATAATTCTTCTAGCTTCAACGTGTCAATGTTCTGCACAAACTCCTCAGCTATCCACCACTTGAGTAGATCAGAAACTGGAATTTCGTAATTTTTAGGAAACAATCCCATGTAGAGAAGGCAAGGCTTTAAATGGTCCGGTAAATGATCATAACTTGATTGTACCGTCTTCATGCTTATCTCCTTGTCGGAAACATAAGAACTTACATCATATGCAACCTTAAGCCACGAAGAAGCTTCTCTTTTTCTTGAAAGAATTTCAGCAATCATGATAATCAAAGAAGGTATTCCTTTACATTTTTTGGCAACTAGTTGTCCTAACTTGACTAGCTCCAAAGGACACGAGTTCCCTCGTTGAAATACTCTCTTCTGCAATAATTCCCAACTCTTTTCATCTTTTAGAAATGAAAGCGAATAAGGATCACAATACCTCTTAGCATAGCTAGCCATCCCTTTATCTCTAGTTGTTAACATTATTCTACTTCCACAATCAGAATCAGGGAAACATGATTGAAAATCATCCCATGCCTTGCCATCCCATATGTTGTCTAATACAACAAAATATCTTTTTCCGTATAGACACTTTCGCAATATGTCTTCAGGATAATCCAAGTTAACATAGTTAGAATGATGATCACCTGTAATTTGTTTTAGAATCTGAAGCACCAACTCTCTCCTATTATATGTTTGTGAAACAGAACACCAAGCTCGAACACCAAAATGAGCAATAATAATACGATTATTGTATATCTTTCTAGCCAGAGCTGTTTTCCCTATTCCGGCCATTCCAACAATCGAGACAACGTCCAGGTCCTTTACTCCACTTATCAAATACTTAAATATATTTTGTGCATGATTATCAAACCCCACTAGTTCTTCGTCTATTGATGAATAAAGTTCGATGCAAGACTCTTCAAAATTCTCCATATAATTAGCTTGGCCTCTTTAACGATTGTTGGAAACAAAATCTACATTAACAAGAACATACTCTAATGATTAACAATGCCACATCTAAAGTCTAATGAATATGAGTATATATGTTCCATTATTATAGTAAAACAAGACATGAAAATTGTGACAAAACAATCAAATTAGAAATAACAAAACTCTTACCACTACTTCGTGGAGGTAGAGAGATCGTTTCCAAAAGATCACCCTCGGCTCAAGTGCATCAAATCTAAGTAAAGGAAAAGGAATCTTACTAATACGAGTATATATGTTCCATTACTACAGTAAAACAAGTCATGAAAATTGTGATAAACAATCAAATTAGAAATAACAAAACAACATCATACCAGAGTAGAGTGTATGCAGATCTTATCACTACTTCGTGGAGTTAGAGAGACTATTTTCTAAAAGACCTTCTTCTCAAGTGCATCAAATCTAAATAAAGATAAAGGAATCTTTCAAATACAAGTATATATGTTCCATTACTATAGTAAAACAAGACATGAAAATTGCGACAAACAATCAAATTAGAAATAACAAAACAATAACATAGCCAAAGAAGAGTTGACACAAATCTCATCACTACTTCGCGGAGGTATAGAGACGGTTTCCAAAAGACCCTCAGCTCAAGTGCATAAGTCTAACTAAAGGTAAAGGAATCTTTCAAATACAAGTATATATGTTCCATTACTATAGTAAAACAAGACATGAAAATTGTGACAAACAATCAATTAGAAATAACAAAACACAACAACATATCCAATGTAATTTCACCAAATAAAGAGTAGAGTGTACGACAGATCTTAGATTGACCGTTTTCGAAAAATCACATGCTCAAGTGCATCAAATTCGAGTAAAGCAAAAGGAGTCTCACCTTAGAGATCAATATTTGCTTGAAAGGATCTATGGGTTCTGTCTTGCACAAAATTGAACGAATGGTAGCAAAAAGATAGAACTAGGAGTTGACTTTAAAAGTATATGAAGAGATTAGATCCAACCCAAATTTATCATAGTTTTGACTATATTGTAAAACTAGACATAAAAAAATGTGACAAATAATCAAATGATAAATAGCAAAAAATGAAAAATAAACTACAGAGCTAACAAGGAATATATCTCACCTTAGAGTTGATTGCTCCAGAGTTATGTTCATTATTAGAGATTTTTTAATTGAACGGACCATTAAGTCTTGATTTAACAATATCAATTAAATATTTCCATTTGATTTCGAACGCTCATTAGGTAGATAACTTAATCACATTAAATACATCTACTTATTAAGATTAAAACATTTGAATTAGCATACACATCTGAATCTGAATATTAAGATGTTGCATTAAGATTCAAGGGTCGGAATTTGAATATTAAGATGATGCGTTAAGATTCAGACTTCGAAATCTGAATACACATCTGATTATCAATAACATCTGAATATTAAGAATATTTGTTTTCAAGTTTGGGATGAATATTATATTGTATTTTAACTATTCGGGCCGCCAATTTTGGGCCTGTATGCCCCTAACAACCAAAAACTAAATGGGCTTCAATTGGGCTTAAAACACAGACTGGCCTTTTTACTAATTTTCCTGTTCTTCTATTTGCATTTGTCTAGCTTTGGGCCAAATCCACTTTGATAATAAACATGAGGTAGGAAATTTCATAAAACACGATATTATAGATGCTAATTACTTAATGAAATGATAGTTTACATAATTACATAATGTGTCGGATATACTGGATTTCATGTATCTTAAATACATATGCGTTAAATTTGCACTATTTTTGGCAGTTTAAGATCTTATGTGACTGAATCCCATTAAATAGGGAAAAAATGTGTGTTCTTGGAATTTTGATCATAGTTCAAGAAGGTATTCACGTCTTTTCCTCATTTTAATCAAGTCAAACTAAGGTTACCCTTTTTTTTTGGAGTATAAAATTTATAGTTTTTAGCATATGGATTAGAATAATTCAAACAGTAAAATAGAACGTACAACAAAAATAGAAGTTAATTTTCATTACCTTAAATCCAAATTCCAACAAATTTCTGCATAGACATCTGAAAAAAAATCTCTGTAAATAACTACGGATATGACTAACCACTGGCCTAAAACATCTTTATATACCGGTGCGGAGCTAGAGTATCGATTACGCCTTAGGTCAAATATAGTAATTTAGTTTAAATCTTATTTTTTATCTTAAAAATCTATCGAAGATGTACAAATTATTATTTCTTTTGTCTCAATTTATGTGACGTCTTTTCTTTTTTAGTTTGTTCAGAAAATGAATGTCACGTTTCTATAATTAAATCCTTTATCATGACTGGAATAATTTATAACCACACAAATATCTAAAATTTATTTTAGGCCACATATTTAAACGGAGAAAATAATCTTGAATTTAATAGTAACTTAAAAAACTTTTAAATTAAAAATTAAAAATTTCAAATTCTAATTCCGTAGGTAGAAGTAGCATTTTGTGGTTTCGTCAAGTCCCCATGCATATTGTACGTACTAAGAGAAGTTAAAAAGTTTTGGGATAAGTGAAGTGAAGTGAAATGAGAGAGCTTTATGGTGCAAAATTTTATTCAGAGTTTTTTAAATTTAACTTACAAAGCCATCAAATCAACTTGTGTTTTTTCATGAAAGGCCTATCAACTAGTTCAATAAAGGCTTCTTGTTGCTGTTTAGATGACTTCACCTTTTGCACTATTACATCTTTCTTCGAACTTATTATCTGACGTTCGATATTTGTACTGATGTTTCCGTTAATTTGAATTTGTATCACATAAGGTATTACAGAACTCAAACTCCAAAATACCTATACTTAAGAATGAAGGAATATTAATTCAATTCCTATCCATCCCACGACAATCTAATAATATAAAATTTAATTGACATTGTTAGTGTACAAAAAGTTAAACTCATACAATATACCTTAGATTTTTAAAACAAAATGGGAAACTTAAAAATTAACAATATTCATATTCATATTCAATCGAGAGTTGTAGTGAAATGGATAGAATTTTTCTACCTTTAATCAGAGACCTCAGCTAGTTCAAGATCTTGAGTATATAAAAGATCATGTTAGGGAGAACTTCTCCCCTTAAATATGTCCTACGCGACAGAAATCTGAATTAGTTGAAACCTCAATATAGATACCGAACAAATAAAAAAGAACAATCCATGTTAAAAGATATACTATTGGTTTTGCCCTTAGGCATAGAGACAAGAAGTAGAAGGACATTGGGCCGCGGGGGGGGGGGGGGGGGGGGTTGAGTGTAGGACATGCAGAATGTACAGTATTTGCCAATGTAACCTTTCATAGGAGAACACATAAAAATGGAGAGAGAAATGAAAGGAGGAAACAACTATGAGACATATGAAGTGACAAGGCCTTAAAAATACAAATGGGAATCTAGCATCTTATTTGGTTCACTATTCAATTGTCTTTTCCCATTTTTTTTTTATCGTCATTAGTAATTGTTCTCAAAGACTATAGTATCTTAGTTAATGAAAAGATAGAGATTATACTTTAAGATATAAATGCGGGTAAAATAATTAAAACCTCTCCTAATTAATATCATCTCCGTCCCAAAGTAAGTATCACCTTTTAAAAATTCAAGACAAAAATTAGTATGTTCTTCCAATTTTACCTTTAACCTTTATACTTCATCTTCTTAATAATGTTCAATTTTGAAGAGACATTTATTAAACAAAACTACTCTAGTTTAGAAAACTACACATCATATTTTCTAGTTTCTTAATCAACGTGAGTTATGCTAAAACGACACCTTTTGGCATGATAGCTATACTTTCTTAGGGAACATGTTAAAAAAAGAAAACACGATAGATAATTTGAGACAGATATACCGTGTAAATTGTGTATTATTCAAAATGGTGTGTACCAAAAAAGTATAAATAGTAGTATGTATAGTAGAGTATAGACAGACAAGAAAACCTAGCATCTTTGCCCCCTCCCCCACACCCCCACCCACCCCTCTACTCCCCTTAGCTAAAAAGAAACAAAATCCTAGCATAAAGTCCCCAACCCAAGATCACCTATTGTTACTATTACCCTTTAGTCATAAACTCTTTAAAAAAAAAACTTTAGTTTAATTTATATAGCCTTTGTCTCCTCCTCCTCCATAAAATTTCATAGATCACTAGATTTCTAACCATGCAAAATAGTCATAATAATTCTATCACATATTCATCTTCCAGTGATCAATTAGTTGAAGATGAACTTTCTACTGTCCTCTCTCTTGGTCCTCCTGGCCAAAATAGTACAATTTTTCATGACTATTTTTCTTCTTCTAGTTGTCATGAATTTCAAAGTTATAATAATCAAGAAAGTGTCACTGTGGCTCTTCATATTGATTCATCAAGTACAATAAGTTCAAACAACAACAATAATCCTAGTAGAAACAAAGGGGATCACAATAGTAAAAATAATAATATTTCACTAGTAAATGGACAATATTGGATTCCAACTCCTGCCCAAATTCTTGTTGGACCTACTCAATTCTCTTGTGCTGTTTGCAACAAAACTTTCAACAGATTCAACAACATGCAGGTTTAGTTTATTTTCTCTCTCTCTATATATATATATACATACACATTTTTAGTCATGTTGAAGATCTTGTATATGCAATTTTAGTTACATGTGACTATATATTAGGGTTGTCACTTGTATATAATGTGTTTGTGCTAATAGGGTAGAGCTAGAGTATAGTTTATGAGTTCAGCTGAACTCAGTAGTTTCTTTTCAAATTTTGTACTTGTCTCAAATTCTGGCTCTACCTCTGTGTGCTAATTGTTCATATATAACTATGCACACTCTTCTCTTACATGCGGAGGCAGATTCAGAATTTTCAAGATTTCTACACTTATTGAAAAATGTAGGTTCATAACTTAATATTTATACTATTTTCTTGAATTTAATTTCCACGTATATAAGATTTCGACATTTGTAGGTTCATGGCATTGAACTTCTTGAATTTTGTCTTTTTATTGTCTCATATCTATGTACTTTTAGTCAAGTTTCAAGTGACCTAAATTTCCAACTTACCAAAAATAGGCAAGTTTAATTTTGCTTGGTCCAACTTGTTATATGTTACATTTTTTTCCTT